AGCCGCCGCCTGGGCGGCTTTGCTCGTTTGCCCGGGAGCAAAGCCGCCCAGGCAGCGGGACCCCTGTAGCCTGGGCGGCTTTGCTCCTGTCCCCCTGGTCTGCTGGGGGGTTCCAGCAGCTTTGCTGGACCCCCCCAGTAGACTAGGGAGACCGGGAGAAGCTTTTCTCGCCCCGGAGGACACGGGTGGTGACCCGCTGCCCGTGAGCTCCGGGGCAAGAAAAGCCCCGTTTGTAAGTGCGGATCTGACATAAGTCGGGGACTGCCTGTACTGTAGTGCAAACTCTTTATTGTAAAAGATCAACTTACAAATGAACAGGGTTTTTTTACATAACTGCACTCAAAACCAAAACAATGTAAAACTTTGGAGCCTATTAGTCAAAGCATGAAGGAGAATATGAACATTTAGTACATCTGGCATTTAACTACTTTGCAATGTCAGCTATGCAAAACCAGTTGTCACTTTCAGGTAACATTGTAAGTAAGAAGCAGGCAACATTATCTTCTGTAAATGTAAAGAAACTTGCTTTTCTTAAAAAAAAGAACCTTAAATGAGTGGTCCTGTAGCACCTTAGAAACTAACAAAATATGTATGGATATTATCATCAGCTTTTGTGTGCACAATCGACTTCTTCAGATACATATTTTTTGTAAGTGTCTAAGGTGCTACAGGACCATTCGTTTTTTGGGTTTTTTTTGGTAAGTTACAGATGGACACGGCTACTCCTTCGTTGTCTTTTTTTAGTGACTGGCTGAATAGCAAATAGAATTGAATGGGCTTATGTAAGTGAATTGAAAAATACTTTATTTTATTTTTTTACAGTGCAAACATTTGTAGTAAAAATATAAAATGAATACTGTACACTAGGGATATAAGTGATTAATCAAGTCACTACTCAGCTACTTGCTTCCCTTCCCCTTTACTGCCTCTGTATCAGAGGCATCAGCGATGAGAGGAAGCAGTAGCAAGTGCTGGGGGGAGCTGGCTTAAAAGCCACTTCCCCCCAGCACGGTTTCTGTGGTGTGGGGGGGAAGGGGAGGCCAGAAGCGCAGTGGTTTGGGACCCAGCATGATCCAGGACTGCCCAGTCCTAGCTCGCGCTTGATCTCAGACCACTGCACCTCTTCATTTAAATGTAGTAAGAGCTGGGTGAACCTAAGGGTAACGATTAGTCCCTTATTGAGTAATCATATAGTCAATACAAATTGTATCAACTACACAATAATTCAGTTACCTTCTTCTTAACATCCTTATTGTAGAGTTTGTATTCTGTGATGTAATTGAAATCAGTATATTTGAAAATGTAGAAAAACATCTACATATATTTATTATATATTTAAGTTGGTATTCTGTTACTGTTTGTGTAATTAAAATAGCAAGCAATCATGACTTTTAATCAAGTTAATTTGCTTTGGGTTAATTGTGTCTATTATCTGAAATTAATGGACAGTTTTACTCTTAATTTGTCTTTTCTCAGTTGTTTATTTTTGTTGTATTTTGGGTACAGCCTGCATGCAGGACTTGACAAAATAAGGACCCAGTTCTTCAAATTTCTGCGTATCCTCAGCTGTCACAGACTGTGATGGCAGTTGGGGTTTCTCAATACCTTGAGTACTACTGTTGTGAGAACTGAAAAGCAACAGTAAATACTTGGCTCTTACATAGATAGCACTTCTCATCTGTATGTCTCATAAAGCTTTATGAAAGTATTTATCATTTCCACTTTCCTAATGGGGGAACTGAAGCACACGACAGTTATATGATTTATTTAAAATCAGAAGATCAGCTGTAAAGCTAGAACTAGAATCCAACTCTCTTGACCATCCAGTGCACTTCCCTAATCCAGTGGTTCCCAGTCTGTGGACTGCAGACCCTTGGTGGTCCGTGGCAGTGCTGCAGAGGGGCCCACCGTGGTGGGCCCAATCCTTACTGTTCTTTCCTTACTTTTCTTTTCCTTCCCCAGAGAAGTGGTTTCCATGAAATTGTAATAGATTGAAAAGGTTGGGAACCACTGCCTTAACCAATAGATCATACTGTACCATTAGCTCACTTAGAAAGCTCATGTTTTTTTCTTGAACCCTCATTTTCCCTAGAGAAGAAAAATAAGTCAACATGTACAGTGCCATAGTAAAATTGAATGAAACTGCTTTAGGGGGTGGTGGAACTACCTAGCTTCCTTCTTTCCTATCTGCCTACCAAGTTGCTACATGTTTTGTGAAAACACCTCAATTTCACACAATTATTTGGAAGGGAAGTTTTTACCCATGTTGGTACTGGGCAAGGCAGGGTGGAGAGCATAATTTTAGTGATATTGCTTCTGAAGGCTAAGGAAAGGGTGGGCGGAAGATAACTAGCAATGTGTCCTAAAAGCAAAATAACTTCTATGAAATCGAATGGAGGTGAATCAGGTTTTTGTTCTCTATTTTTAATCATGCAATATTTTAAAATACAGAAGTGAAATAACAGTTGATGGGATGGTGTTAAGAAGAGACTGAACGTTGAAGGAGAAATTCCTCAAAGCATGATGAGTTAAGGCAAAGCAAAAATCTGCTAGCTGTGCCTCTTAGTCATTGCCCCTGGACAAAGGAGGTTCCCCATATCATTTGCCAATAGGCTTAGTCCTCTAGCTATTATGTAGCTGGTATATTTTCTAAGCTCTTTTTTGGAATGTATGGAGGCTGGGGTGGGAGGCAGAGAAGGTGCAAGAAATAAGTTAGAACAGTGGTGCTCATAGTAACACCTGTAGTTAAGGTTGCCTAACACTTTCTATTATGAGACCCTGTTTTCATATACAGATAGCATGGGACAGGGAAAAAAAGAAAAATATGGGAGTCATCATTCAAATACCACAATAATGGACATAGTATACAAATCTGAACAGAATAAACCATAATAATGGAGGTAGAGGTAAAGCTAAAGAGTAGGGGAGAAAACAGATGCTGAAGACAAAGTAAAATTACATCGTCATAGGGAAAAAGGTGGCTTCATGTTGGGAAAGGAAAGAAGATACAACAAAAGCAAGGAAGACGATCTATAAATTCTGCTTTGCACTGCTCTGATGGCAGAAAATCAGCTTAAAAGTTAGTTTAACTGGCTTGGAGGGGGATTTCTCTGGTACAGAGATGGTATAGATCTGTCATTGTTCAACATCTCTAGACTATAAATTTAGAGAATCCATGACATTCTTTGACTGCCCATATAGTTTATTTTACTGTAGGTTTCACCTCCAGATATATTTGAGTGAGAGAATCTTCAATAAACATAAGAAAGATGGTTGATGACATAGAAAGGGGAAGGGGCGCAGATAGAAGGATAGGGAGATTTTCACTTTAAAATTACAGGCAGGCACTTACGAACGGGACTTTTCTTGCCCCGGAGCTCGCGGGCGGCGGGACCGCCTAGAGCGCAGCGGTCCCGCCACCGCATCCTCCAGGGCGAGAAAAGCTGCCCCGGGTCTCCCTGGTGTGCTGGGGGGGACTCCCCAGCACAGCAAGGAGACCCAAGCAAAGCTGCACAGGCGGCGGGACCCCGCTGCCCATGCGGCTTTGCTCCTTTGCCCCGGAGCAAAGCCGCAGAGGCGGGGGGGCCCCGCCGCCCGGGGGGCCGTAGTTTGGAGACCCCTGATCTAGTAGATAGGCCCATTGCCCTGCCACACTGATCAGCCATCAGCAAAGATGGCTGGCTGCAGAGGTGCACACATTGTATCTTCCCCCCGGCAGGGCTTTGTTTGGGTCTCCCTGGTCTTCTGGGGGGGGAGGGGGCGCAGCTAGTGCCCCCCTCCTCCTCCAGCAGACCAGGCTTTTGTTGCGGGACGCCTGGGGTAGAGCAGCTGGGGTGCTGCCAGGTTGGTCCTGCAGGGACCTACCCGGCAGTGCTCCAGCTGTTCTGTCCCAGGAGTCCAGATTCAGCCGCTGTTGAAACTGATCAGCGTCTGATTCCAGGAAGCCGGGGGCAGAGCAACTCTGCCTTGGGCTTCCTGTAGTCAGCCCCTGTTCAGTTTCAGCAGCAGCTGAATCTGGAACCAGTTCCGACTTACATACAAATTCAACTTAAGAACAAACCTACAGTCTCTATCTTGTATGTAACCCGGGGACTGCCTGTACTAGTTTGGACTGCTGCACCTCCCCCTCAGCTCTTACATCACACACTAACTTACATCTCATAGTGAGATATTTGAAGTGACCTGGCCACTCTAGTTTCTTACAGATAGTGAGGGAAAACCACTACCAGAACATTTTATTAGCAGTTATAGCAGAAAAGCCAAGGAGTGGCTGAGTATAATGAATACAAGCTTATCCCTCCTAAAACCAGTCCCTCAAATATAAAATGAAGGCATATTAGTGGATAGCACAGGAAATCTTGGCTCACATATGTCATACCTTTTTGTGAGTAAATTTACTCAGTTTGCCAGCACCTTCAATCTGGCATCTTTCATAATCACTATACTGTACAGGTGATGTTTGGGATTTAGCTGGAACTAGTGGAGATGGCTGTGTTGTCTGAGTCCTTTTCTCTGGGCTGGTTCAGGTCAGGATCTCTCTCAGGAAATGGGGGGGAGGATGCCAATATGCTGACTTTCATCTTAGTACCCAATTTCCCTTCCTACAGTCTCTTTAAGAACCCCAAAAGGAAGTGATGGACATAATAGCTCATCTCATTTTTTCCCCTCCATCAATTAGGCCTAATTCCCAACACACTAGTTTTAGTTAATTGGTTTCTGGTCCTCTACTTCTCTTGTTTACTAGCTAACATTTAAACACCATCCTTAAGTTGTATCAGTCAACATTTTTGTTCGTACAAAAGCAGCATGTCTCACTTTTGCTCCTTTTCCCATTAACAACTGTTGTTACAGTTACTGTGATATTCCTTAACCTTTCCCTTCCCTCCCACAACTCAAGTCACAGTTAGGACAGATCTGCAGGCTCAATTTTTACAGCTAGTTTCTAGGCACTACTGTAAATAAATAACAACAGATAATCACTCTACTGATTCTTTTTCCAGGAGTTAGCGGTTCCCAGCGTCCATGACGGAGGAGCTCTTGTGGCTTTTGTCTCTGGTGTTGTGTACATTACACTCCAGTCCATCATTTCTTTCAAGTCATGTCCACAATGGAACAGTCACAGTACATGTTACATAAGGATGGCCATTGCTGTGGTGTCATGCATGGCTGTCATTCCCAGTATCCTTTTTGTGTATCACAGTGTTGTATCTTTACATGTGAATGTCCTTCCACTCATGGTAAACCACTTCAAAAGCAGGATAAAGACTAGACTACTGCTCAATGTTGCACATGGATCACTATGTTCAGCAAGCTGGCATTAGAAGCAGCATGAATGATAGTTACCAGCTCTTTGCAGAAGCTATATGTCAATTGTGCATTTAAGTCTAATGCCTCTGTTTCCTACTTTTCTTTATAGTTGGAGGGCAGAGAAGAAAGCAAAGGGGATTCTTATACTAAGCGTCAGCTCATCAATGTAAATGCAGGTTGAACTTCTCTACTCTGACACCCTCAGGACCTGACTGGTGTCAAACCAGAGCATTTACCAAACCACAAGAGGTCAATATTCTCTAGCAGCATTACTAACATTGCCACTGCTTACTGGGCTCTTAGAAGACATTTAGAGATAAATTAGAGCTAGGTAACAGCACAGAACACTGAAAGCCAGGACTGGTGGCTGTAAACCAACTTTTATGGGGCCATGGGAAATTTGGCCACGCCCATGATGAGCAGACATCCAGCTAACTAAATCATGCCGGACCCCAATGTTGCTGGACCAGACTGCTGGACTAGAGAGGTTCAGCCTGCATAACATACAGCCTAGCACTCGTGTCCAAGAGTTAGCCACCAACACACTATATACAGGTCAAACTACCTTATAAGAAACAAAGAAGGCAGATGGGAGCCCACCCACATTGGGCCCTCTGACTGAAAAGGCAAGCAGTCATCCTTCTAGCCTGTACTATCTCGGCCTGGATAAATGATCTTTGGAGTGCTAGGTAGAGGAACTGAATAGTGAAATGGGCGTACATGCCCATTAGGTATCTGTCAGGCTTTTTTCTTTTAGATCATCATAACACCTAAGCCACTAAAGGCAAAGGGTCAGATTCTATTCTTTGAGAAGATGACTGCATGTGTGTGTGAGAAGAATCAGTCTGAGGCCTCTGTGTCATAAGGGGGTGACTCATCCATAGCACATCCTGCTGGCCCAGCACTTTCCAACTCAATTTCCTCTCACTAAGTTCCCAAAAGTAATCAACAGTCTCTCTCTGTCCACTCATTCCTCTCCCCTACATGGAATCTGTCTTTGTTAACAAAACAATCCTCAACCTTAAGTCCCAACATAAAGGACTCCCAGCTCTTTTTTAGCTAGAATCCTTCCACAGATCTCTGCCTTCCTTGTCCAACTCTCTGACTCAAAGAAGTCAGTTACACACCTCCCTCTGCTACTATCAAGGTCCTCCCTTGCTTTCTCAGGGTCTTACTCCCAGGCTGCATCACTGGAGTCATCAACTTCTACTAGATCAGGGCCAGGCAAAATCCGGCCCACAGGCTGAATTGGCCCACTAAGTTGTTGGATCCAGCACATGGGGCACAGTGGGAGCCTCAGTCAGGCTCCCTGCCTGCCTGCCTGCCCCACCCCCACACACCTCCCAGAAAAGTCAGCTGCAGGGCTCTTTTTGTCTGTGAACAGCTGTGAGCCTGGGGTGGCTGCTCCTCTCCCCCAGCACAATCTGGGAGATTTTGTCTCCACTCCTAGCACAATTTGCAGCTTCTTTTGGCCAATGGGAGCTGCTGTTTGAAGAACAGGCAGCATTCTAAGTATCCCTCCCTCCTCTTCTCAGTCTCGCAGCTGAGAAGTCTGTTCACATGTGAGTCTGTTCACAGACACACATGGCCCCACAGCCAGCTGCTCTGAGTGACCTGCCAGGGAATGGAAGACAAGGAACCTGGTGGGCTGATGATGAGGAGTCACCCAGATAAGCATCTCCCGGCCAGAGCCTGCTTCTGGCACTCCAACATTCCCTCCCCCTTAACTTCTGCCCCCCCAACCCCACAATATCCAAACACTCTGCCCCGCCCTCTTGCACCCATCTCTCCTCTCAGGCCCTGCACCCCAATCCCTTGCCTGAGGTCACAACCCAAACCCTCGCCCCAGATCACAACCCCCTCCTTCACACCCACACGCTCCCAGATTCTACACCCCCTCCTGCACACCAATTCTTACTACAGGCACCCTTCTGCACTCAACCTTCATCCCAAACCCCGCACCTCCTCCATTAATATGGTGGAAGAATGCGGCCCTCAACCACTTACCAAATTCTTGGAGTAGCCCATCCCCCATCAAAAATGATTGCCTACCTCTGTGCTAGACCTTACTTCAGAGACTGCCTCCAGAACCAAACTTATTCCCTGTGGTTCCCTTTCTCCAAACCGAGTTCTCTGATCTTTATGAAGTCCACATATCTCAGGCTGTTACCTGCACCCAGTCAATGCTGTCTTTGCTGATTATCATATAGTTAATTAGCAGACAAGGATGTGATCAGACAGGGCTGGCTAGCCTCGGGCTTCTGGCCCTTAAACTGGCAGGCCACCCTACCATTAGAGTATGTGCAGCAATCAAAGTTATACAAGTGTTTCCAAAGGCAGACTATGACAGAAGAAGCTCATATTCACAGCTTCTCCTGCTTGCAGTAGTGAAAATGGTTAGTTCAACACCTGACTACACTAGTTGTCAAATCTGCTTCTTAAATTCACAGCTTCTCTCACTCATAGTGGTGAATGTTCATAATGCAACTCATGACTGACCCACATCACTATGCTGGGTAATACCAAGTTATATTTACACATTTGTCGTCTGGCTTCAACCTGTTTCTTTCAGCTGTTTTATATTTTAAATAATGTTGCCTATGTGAAAAGGGAAGAAATACAAGTTTGCAAATCTGTTAAGAAATCCTGCTCTGGGAAAAGTGAGGTTTATTATGTAATGCTGCTGGGCCATGTAATATGGAAACAAAAAAATCAACCATAGATGACAATATTCACTTATTTCATAATCTGTAAAATTGCTGACTGTCTTGTGATTCTGCTGGGCTTGTGACAGCTGCAATGCTAGTGAGAAAAGGAACTCTGCTGTGAATCTCCTGTAGAAAAAAAACAGAACATTTTTCTTGTATGTAAAATATACAGTTTATACTGATAAAACAAGTTACATTTGTCAGAAAATAGTTATGCTCACTTGTGTGCTAACTGCTCTATAGGTGCATTCAGCCTAGTTGACAGGAAAAATGTTATGTAAACTTGTTACTATGGGCTGCCAGATCTGAGTCTCAGAACAAATCACTTCTGTTGATCATTGTTTTAACCCTTCTGGTGTAGATTAGTGAACTGGACACTACCCAGTTGCTCTGGTGGTTGCTCCATGGTATTATTAACTCAGCATATAAGAAATCCAATGACAGATGAACCAGATTGAAACTGTTAAACTTCAGTCTTGAAAATATTTTTGAGGGATTTTTTTTGTATTATAGTGCGGTTTCCACCCTCATCATGTGAATAGATTTTCTCTTGCCACATATAGCTCAAGAAACCAAAAGTTGACCAAAGCTTGGTCACGAGGATCCTATTCCATGGTTTCATTTTGACATCAACCTTCATACTAGAAGGCTCTGGTGGTCATTCTCTGCTGGGAGACTTGATAAACTACCTTCTTGGAGGCTAACCACACTGCACTCTACAGCTCAGAGGCCTGCCTCATTGCCCATTGAAGTTCATGAGAATGATTCTGTTGACTTAGTGGGCTTCAGATTGGATTGTAAATAGGAAGCAGTATTCATACAAATTATTATAAATCTAAGCCACACAGCCAAGGTCTACTCTTGGGGTCTTCTGTCCATAAGAATGCCTCATCTCACCCTCCCTCTTTTGTAATCTTATTTAGTCAGTGTCTTTCGTGCTGACCAGTTTAAGACCTTTGTGCAAGTACACTATGTTTGCTTGACTTTTTAATAGTCTGTTTTTATATTGCAGTGTAAATGCTCGTTTGGTATTTTCAGGCTTAGAGAATAGGGACATGGGATGCATTATAAATAGACATTTTTATTATTATTCATTAAACAATGTGTATGGTTTTCCTTTACATTACTTTTCCCAGTGATTGTATGTGCATCATTAATTTCGATAAAAATTGACTGGATTCCAGGTGAAAAGGTAAAACCTTCCTAGGTAACCAATGTAATCCTACAGCCTATAGCTTGGGTATGTGATACTATATATTTTTAGGCACATGTAAGGACAAGATCACAAGGAATTTAAATAGTGCATGACCATAAGCAAGCTATCAAGCTATTTAGGGGGAAAACAGCTAACAGCTGAGATTCTTAAAATGAGTGATGGGTAAACCTCAAAAAGACTAGACTTTCATTTTAAGTAAGTGCTCAAAGTTCCAGACAATTTGATTATGCAAAATTGAGTGAGGAATCTTGTGATTAATCTTCTCTATAGAAGTGAGTTGTTTCAGCATTTTTACTTCCTTATGCAACCCCGTCCTCATACAATGAAATGAAAAACAAATCAGTCTGTTCTTCAATCTGAGATCATGGTTTGCATTATGGATGACTATTTAGCTCTGGTCTTTATTTTACTGGGCTTTTTCGGCATTCTTAATTAAAATCCTTGCCCCGGATTAAGTTCAGATCTAAAGCCTGTTAGAGTTCATAGCAGTCTTGCCACTAACTTCAATGCTCTGTGGATTAGGATCTTAGAGCATTTGTGGTGATGACTGGGAAAAAAGTTGGATCTGTGGACAGGCTATGCCACAGGAGGGAGTACTTTCTCTACAAATGAAGTAAAATAATACAGTGCCTGCATCTTGTTTCTGAAGTTTGCCAAGCTTACCCTTATTAACACGCTTAGATAAAACAGTGAAAAAGCACCTGAGATGATGAATCTTCATATGTGCGATACTTTTAATAATGTCAAGCTCCTGTGTTTATTGTGTTATGGAATGGTGTCCTTTTATTGAAGTAGATGGCATATTTTGCTTCCAGAAAATCCCCTTTAATTCTATATGTGTTTCATTATAAGAGAGTGTATTAAAGCTTTCCTACAAAACACCTTAGGGACAGGCACATTGCTAAAGTGTCATGCATTTGCTTGAGGCCTAACTCTGTTGTTTTCCTTGGCTTTGAATGAAGGTGTTGAATTTGAGCCACTGGCTCCCTCATATTTAACATTTAGTAGGAATGATTATGGCTAAAATGAATTATTTTTATATCCTTCTGAGATTTTTCTCTAGTTTTTTCACTTTGTGTAGTACTTATTATTTAATGGTAGAGGATACAGAGCCTGTAGTGTATTTATTAATTTGTGAAAGCTTAAACCTGTATTAGCTTTCAGGAACCAAAGCATGGATCAGACCTTCTGAGGCCAGGTCTACACTAAAGGGGAAGGTCAAATTAAGATATGCAACTCCAGATATGTTAATTACGTAGCTAGAGTAGATGTACTTTGATTCAAGTTTCCCTGCTGTTCCCACAGCAGGAGGCTGATAGGAGCAAACTTTCCCGTTAGCTTCCCTTACTCCACACAGAAACAGGAATACCAACCGCCGAGGGTGGCATCCTCTTAGTTCGATTTAGTGGGTCTTTACTAGACTCACTAAATCGAACTCCGGAAGGGTCGATCTTCCCCAGAGTGAAGACATGGACCAAGCGTCAGTGTGGATCAGATCTTTGAAATATAGGTGTTAGGGAAGTGGGAAGGAAAGGAGAAACATTTCTTCTGTGCTAATTTTTAAATTTTGTTTTTAAATAAAAAGAGATATTGATCAAATTGGAAATGGCGTGAGACACACACATATATATAACATTCACTTTTCTTTTGTGCAATAACAAGTGTTCTGGAAACCTTTAATTTATTGCACAATTTATACACTTAATACTATCAAGGACATGTGTTTATTTTTACTGGTTATGTGTTGCTTATGAAGTCACTAGTTTTGTTATGCTTTTTACTGTTGCATAATGGTACAAGTTACGTATATAGGGAATACATATAATATTGGATATGTTTTCCTTCCTCCACTCCTACAGTGCTTTTTAAAGGAGTTACTCCTGCATGTTTCTTTGGGTACGTTTACACAGCAGTGTTATTTCAGAATAACTGACATTATACTGAAATAACATAGTCCGCATTTACTCTACAAGCAGTTATTTTGAGATAATGTCAAAATAATGTCAAGCTGGAGGACTTCTTACTCAGACTCCTGTAACCCTCATTTTACGAGGAGTAAGAAGTCGGAAGAAGAGGGCTCTTCTTCAGACTTCCTGCTGTTTAGACAGCACCAAAAGCCGAAATAAGCTATTTTGACTTAGGCTACGCAATTGACGTAGCTGAAGTTGTGTAGCTTATTTTGGCTTTAGCCCTGCTGTGTAAACGTGCCCTTAGAGCCCTCAATTTGTGCTGAAGTTGACTGGTGTTGTGGGCTTTCAGCACCCTACAGAAAGCACTCAGCACCCTAGTAATACATATCTGGGAATAAAAACCTTTGAGCATTGAATGCAGGAATTGACATCCTCAGAGATTTCAAACAGAAGTGGTTACACATGCCATAAGCAGACTACTAAGAGTAGAAGGGATGTTTCAGCCAAACAGCTGTTATTTATTTATGCATACATTCCACACATTTCCAAGGTGCACATCACACTAAATGTTTTTCTCTACTTAAACCTTAAGGGCAATTCCAAAAATTTAAGCAATCCCAGCCATTTATGTGTTTTATATTCCCTACCTGTACATTGATGAGAATTTCTATTTTTGTTTGATTTGCCATTTCTGTTTACCATTCCATGTTTTAGAGTTTCATATGGAAGTATGTTTTGTTTCTCATTTCCATCAGGATTATACTTATCATTTGGTGAGTGCAATCTGTGAATGGACAGTGGCCTTTGGTTTTATCTTCTTCTTCTTAACCTTCATTAGAGATTTTCAGGTTGGTATTTATAAGTCAGCATTATAGAGTGACAGGTACTATGGAAAATAATAATATTTAATCTAAGATAGAAAGGTCAAAAGGTATCCACATACAGATTTTGTAACACCACACACAGTTTATTTCTGGTCTTTCACCAGGAACCTTTTTACTTTATTTTTTGAATAATTCAAAATCAAATGTACAGGCAGTCCCCGGGTTATGTACAAGATAGGGACTGTAGGTTTGTTCTTAAGTTGAATTTGTATGTAAGTCGGAACTGGTACATATTGTAGGGGAAACTCTAGCCAAACATTTCTCCAGAGCTCAGTTTTATTCTCCCACACCTCACTTCCCTCAGTCCTTTATTCTCAAGCTGAGGTGTCTGCTGAGAAAAGCCGCTCCGCGTCTCCCTGGTCTGCTGGGGGGAAGCAGCTAGTGCGGGGTTGCCTCACCCCGTTTGTAAGTAGGGATCCGATGTAAGTCGGATCCATGTAACCCAGGGACTGCCTGTAGTATTAAAATGCCTGAATCCAAGCTATCCAGGTAAATGGATAACTTTACTCATGTGCCTATATTTTTGCAGGATCAGAAAGTGAAATAAATCCTTTTGAATTGGGTTTTGTTGGGTTTTCTTTTAATATTATTTATGTTTTAAAGAGTTTAATGTAAAAATTCACTTCTTTCAATCAGACTCTCCCTGCTCATTTTTTAAAAAAAGTTATGCACTTTGATTTATGCTGCCCAATAAGTTGTGAGAAGATGCAGCTGTCATTCATTTTTCCTTTTTAACAACATTTTTAAAAATATTGTAGTGAAAATTCTTCTAGTGTGGTTAGGTTGCACTTGACAGAATTGAGCTGATTGTTTAGTATTGAGCCTCTTGAATATTTATTGCCATTCCACCAACTGTATTTCTGATCTCTGAGAACAGCATATGTGCATAATGCTTTCCTAGACAGCACTGTACTTGCTCCTTTCTTCCATCAGGAAGACTATCATGTCAAGGACAGACTCTCTCACAATGCAGTAGTCAAATAAGCACAGGGATTGGTAAACGCAAAGCATTCCAGCATTAAAAATGTAACCAAACATACTTTACAAAATAAATTAAAGGATACACATGGCTTTAAGATAATAAAACAGGAAATGCAAATCTCTTTTCCTAATCTATATCCTACAACAGAATATGAACACACATTAAAAATATTAAATTTAGACACTTGGGCTATGTCTAGACTGCAAGCCTCTTTCGAAAGAGGCTTTTCCGAAAGACACTGTCGAATCCCACTGGCTGCTTCTGCCTCAATTCAGGCAGACCAGACAATGAAGAACTCCAAAAGAAGGTGAACTCAGCAAGCTGACTCACTGGTGTGGCCGGTGGTAGGTCATCTGGAGTTAGAAGTAAAATGCAGGACTATGTAGCACCTTAAAGACTAACAAGATGGTTTATTAGATGATGAGCTTTCGTGGGCCAGACCCACTTCCTCAGATCCAATAGTGGAAGAAAATAGTCACAACCATATATACCAAAGGATACAATTAAAAAAAATGAACACATATGAAAAGGACAATTGAAAGACTTTTTCTTCCACTATTGGATCTGAGGAAGTGGGTCTGGCCCACAAAAGCTCATCATCTAATAAACCATCTTGTTAGTCTTTAAGGTGCTACATAGTCCTGCATTTTTTTTCAAAAGAGCACTTTCAAAAAAAGGCGTTCTTCCTCGTGAAATGAGGTTTACTGTCATCGAAAGAAAAGCCGCGTTCTTTCGATTTAATTTCGAAAGAATGCGGCTGCAGTCTAGACGCAGGTAAAGTTTTGTCGAAAAAAACCCTGAATCTGGACACAGCCTCAGAGAACGGGTATGCCTTACAGCACTGCACACAGTTTACACACTGCAGTTTCAGACTTCAACCTCTGACATTAACCAGCACAAACAGAAAACCAATCAACCTGCATATTACAATTTAAACACTGAACTCTAAACAAAACTCATTTCCCATCCATATTTCCAAATGCTGTCATCACTTTTCATCTTTTGCTAAAACATCCCAACACTGTTTCTGTGGTCCCTAGTATTGTGCTTAATAAAACTAATTAATTATGTTACAGTAATCTTATTTTATCTTTCCTATAGGGAGTTACCTTAAGGATATTAACAGAAATACAAGACGTCTTCTGACAATAGGAAAATTATATTTTAATCAATGAACATTGTAGGAATTTTTTTTTTATTAAAGAAACTGTTGCAGCGAAACAAGAGATTTCAATGCTGATACACCACGAAACCACTGCATCAAACCGCAGTCTGCATAATCCTATTTCTGGACACCTTTTTAATATTAACAATATTTGTAAATTTACTTTTTCCTTGAATGGGCTCTCTCTGCTTATTACTGTTTGATAATTATAGGAAAAAGGCACCAAAAGGAGACCTTCAAAGTATAAAACAGAGGCTCCACAACTTTCCACTTTTGAACACATGCTGGTTTTTCCATTACTAACAGTCTGACTAATGGCGATAGTCTTCAACTGAAAAGGAAAACACAGTTTGCACATTATTTGCAGTGTCAAGAAAGTGAACAAAATTAAATCTGTTCAGTTTTAATTAAAATATTATATGGGGCTTTTCTTCCATCTTTTGAATATTTTTTAAAATCAAGGTTTATGCCCTTTTAAGTTGCAAGACACTAGGTTGGAGGAAGACAATGTTGCGAGCAGACATGGGTATCTTTGTTCCAAGACATACAGTTTTATAGTTACTAGATTTCAGCACTTATACTGTCAAGGTAATGAGTACATTATAAATATCCTAAATGGACATTTAGACTGTTAACATTTTTTCAAGCAGTATTTTCTCATCAGTTTCTAGTGTTTTTTTAGGAACTTGCCCATTTCTTCCTGCCTGCAGAAGGCTAATAGCTCCTTTTAATGTTGGCTACTAAGTAGCTTAATCTGAAGACTGTAATGGGAAGGAAAGGGATAATAAAATATTGCTTTTCAGAAACAGAGGGAAACTGGATGATCTGACATCTTAATGCTGCTTGATAAACTTGGGGCAAAGGCCTTCTGATATACTTTTTAACTGAGGACAATAGGAGAAGCCTACCTTCGAGTTATAAAAAAAAAAAAAAAACTAAAGTGGGAGGGAGAGCTGCTTATAGTTATATGAAAGAACTGAACGTTACTGGAGGGCATCAAAGATTGGGATAAGATGTGGGATATGCTGCTAAATTTTTTTCCACTATAAATGTTTTTATAATTTGTTTCTAAAAGAAACTGTTACTGCATTTGAAGAGTCTGAGTTGGAAGTTTGTTATAGTAACAGAGGAGTCTGCCATATTAGAACTAACTGTAGGCAGAAATGTTCTACATGGACTATAGAGAAAAGACAAAATGTCATTGGATTCATACAAGGTCCACTGGGCTATCAGCCTAGTTCAGCAAAACCACTCAACTATCAGTGAGCTAACAGTCTAGTTCAGCAAAAATGTTACTTTCCATGGCATAGCACAATCATTTGCAGAAATAGGGATGTGTGTCATTAGGGATTAATTTTATATTAAATATCATGTATACAATCAGTGAAGTATTGTGTCAAAGACTTGCCAATTGCTAATGGATCTTTTGATATATATTAAACTTCAAGCCAAATTCAACTGAGTCTCCTTTTCTTTTATTAATAGCTTGAAAAAAACTCTACAAAGTTGCCTTTTAAGATTCCCCACAGCCAGAGTAGTGTTACTTTTTTCTGCTTGACAGCACTGCTGGATTTGCTATCTGTAAGGATCTGTTTTAAAGATGTTAAGGAATAGTCGATTATAAGGGGGATCCTTCAAAGGGGCAGCAGCACCACACAGCTGAGCCTGGGCTCAGCAGTGCGGGCCTGCTCCTTTGAAACATGGAGGAGGAGTTCAAAGGGCAACACTGCTCAGCTGATCCTCAGTGGATCAGCTGTGCGGCACTGCCCCTTTGAAACATCGAGGCGGCATTTCAGAGTGGCGCTGTGAATCCCGGGGTCAGCTGGGGACTCCCCAGTTGACCCTGGGTTCCGGGAAAATGCCATGCAGAACCCGGGGTCAGCTGTGGAGTCCCTAGCTGATCCTGGGTTCCGCTGAAATGCTGTTGGGAGCCTGGGATCAGCTGGGGAGTCCCCTGCTGACACCGGCTCCATGCGGCATTTCAAATCCGTAGTGCAACATGGAGCCCGGGGTCAGCGGGGACTCTGAGTCCTCCATTGACCCTGGGCTCCATGTTGCGCTGTGCCTTTGAAATGTAGTCAATGAAAATTCCTGTCGAGTAGTAAATGGAAATTCCGTCGAATAGTCAGTTAACCAATATTTAACATCTTTAATCTGTGTGCCTTGAATTTGAAAGAGTAACCATGACTTCTTCTATTAAAAACCTAAAATCTAGTCCAAAGAGTAAATGCAAGAGATGTGCTGCATTGATTAAGGAATGGGAAAGAAGACACAATGTTACAGATCATTTATTTTGATACCTGACAAGAAGGTAGGAGCAGGACTCACAATAACTTCAAGGAGGAGACACTTATAAAAAAAAAACAGGATTTAGAAATGGTTTGGTGGGAAAAGTTAGGAAATAATTCATAGACTCAGTACAATGCACAATGAAGAACATTTTGTTAGCATCGAAGAAGTTATAATCACCATGTATGGGATGCTTGTCCTGTAGTTTCAGTCATAGAATCTAAGCACAAAACACACATTTCAAGCCAAGATATGGAACAATAAGGAGGAAACACCACTTGCATGATTAAATAGCAATGGCACAAGTTTATTCTGACCAAATAATAGAAATCCAGCACAAATTATAAATTACATTAAATAAGAAAAAAGCTTAACAGCCAGCCACTAGCAAAAGATACATTTCCTGTCTCCCTGCACTTCCATTCTGCCAGCTCCTTTTTACATCTGAACAAGAATTTCCCCCCCATGTAAGGAAATCAAATGTAAGGAAATCACTAAATCACAGTTCCTGCCTTGTTTTCCCCTTTGTTACATGGGAAGTAATCTGGTGTGGGTCTAACAATGATTTATAAAAATAGCAGTTTTTATACCAATAGCCCCTAAATGAAAAGTTGCCCACCCCTGGCTGAAACTTAAAGCCATGATGCCCGTGATTATAGCAAAGATGAAAGTTACTGACTTAAAAGAGCAAGTCTCTGTGCTACAAACTGACCTAGGAGAGACATGAGGAACAGATGCAGAATTGCATGGTAGTCCTGTGGGAGCAGAAAAGAAGTGATGTGTGGGTCTGCCAATAGGAGGGACTTGGGGGAGGAGAGGGGGAGAGACAGAGGGAGCAGTTGCCCTGGGACCTGGCAATTCAAAGGGGCCAGCAGCAGTGGAAGCCAGAGCTCTAGGCCCTTTAAATTGCCACTGAAGTGCCACGCTCCCTGCTCCGGACAGTAATAAGGACTGGCGGGGGCCCAATGTCATGCTCCAGGCAGTGCTGAGGACTGTTCCCAGCCTACCCCTTTCACCAAAGGCCCCACCCAGCACGAAACTGGGCCGGGATGCCCTTTCAGATTTTGGTGAGGGGGGAGTCTGTGCATGTCATAAGGGGTGGGGGGAGAGGGTGAAAGCATGGGGGCAGACTGAGGACAGAAGCGTCTGCGGTGTTACTGAGCATGCTCAGTACAAGAGTGTCTTAACAAATGTGAAGTCCACCCCCTTTGCAGATGGACACAAAGTTTATGCACCGCTTAGGGTGATATGGCACCCAGGCCTTCTGCAAGGGGTGAATTTCACCCCAAGACATCTTTTGCCTCCTGCTTCAGAAGTCAAAGAAAGTCCAGTTAGCTCTGGTAGCCTCAGTCTCTAGTAACTCTAATGCCTTTATCACCTACTGTGCTGTGATCCTGAGATGATTTTTTCCAGATTCTTTGGGCAATCTGATTCCTTTAGAGGGTGATATGGCACCCAGGCCTTCTGCAAGGGGTGAATTTCACCCCAAGACATCTTTTGCCTCCTGCTTCAGAAGTCAAAGAAAGTCCAGTTAGCTCTGGTAGCCTCAGTCTCTAGTAACTCTAATGCCTTTATCACCTACTGTGCTGTGATCCTGAGATGATTTTTTCCAGATTCTTTGGGCAATCTGATTCCTTTAGTAGAA